CTCCAGGGTTGGGATCATCTCCAGGGTTGGGATCATCTCCAGGGGTTGGGATCATCTCCAGGGGTTGGTATCATCTCCAGGGGGTTGGGATCATCTCCAGGGGTTGGGATCATCTCCAGGGTTGGGATCATCTCCATGGGTTGGGATCATCTCCAGAGGTTTGGGATCATCTCCATGGGTTGGGATCATCTCCAGATGTTGGGATCTTCATCCCGGGCCGGGATCTTCTCCATGGCTTGGAACCATCTCCAGATCTTCTCCCATCTCCCATCTCCCCCATCCCACCTGGGCCGATCCCACCCCACCTCCTCCCACCCCGCAGGACCGCGGAGGACCTGAGCTGCTCCCACCTCCTCCCGGAGCTCCTGGGCGGTTCCTCGGACTCCTACCACGTCTTCAGCACCTCCAACGCGCTGGGCCGGGGCTGGTTGGTCATCTACGAGGCCTCCTCCTTCACCTTGGCCGTCTTCTTCTTCCTCCGCTCCCACCCGGAGCTCCTGCCCACGACGCTGCACCTGGAGCTCTCCACGGCCAAGGTCCACCTGGGCGACTTCCGGGAGACCTTCGACCGCCTGACGCTGCAGCAGGAGCCGCCCGACCCCGCGGCCACCGCGGTGGCCCGCGCCCAATCCTCCGGCCGCGGCGACGCCTACGTCCGGCTGGGCGCCGGCGCCTACGGCGTCCTGGCCACCGCCGCGTCCCGCCGCGCCCGGCCGCTCCTCAGGGTGGAGGTGGAGGAGAGGCACTTCGTGTTTCCTCCTCTGGGAAGCGCTGGGCCACCGCCGGCACCTCCAGAATCCTGCGGGTACTGCCAGAAGGCCAGAAAGTCCTCTGGAACCTCAAGAGCTCCTCTGGAAGCTTCTAGGAACGTGTAGGAACCTCCAGGACCTCTCAAGAACCTGCAGAAGGCCAAAAGCACCTCTGGAACCTCAAGAGCTCCTCTGGAAGCATCTAGGAACGTGTAGGAACCTCCAGGAGCCCTCAAGAACCTCCAGAAGCCCAAAAGCACCTCTGGAACCTCAAGAGCTCCTCTGGAAGCTTCTAGGAACGTGTAGGAACCTCCAGAACCTCTCAAGAACCTCCAGAAGCTCTCAAGAACCTCCAGAAGCCCAAAAGCTCCTCTGGAACTTCAAAAGCTCCTCTGGAAGCTTCTAGGAACGTGTAGGAACCTCCAGGAGCCCTCAAGAACCTGCAGAAGCTCTCAAGAACCTCCAGAAGCCCAAAAGCTCCTCTGGAACCTCAAAAGCTCCTCTGGAAGCTTCTAGGAATGTGTAGGAACCTCCAGGACCTCTCAAGAACCTGCAGAAGCTCTCAAGAACCTCCAGAAGCCCAAAAGAACCTCTGGAACCTCAAAAGTTCCTCTGGAAGCTTCTAGGAACGTGTAGGAACCTCCAGAACCTCTCAAGAACCTGCAGAAGCTCTCAAGAACCTCCAGAAGCCCAAAAGCTCCTCTGGAACCTCAAGAGCTCCTCTGGAAGCTTCTAGGAACGTGTAGGAACCTCCAGGACCCCTCAAGAACCTCCAGAAGCCCAAAAGAACCTCTGGAACCTCAAAAGTTTCTCTGGAAGCTTCTAGGAATGTGTAGGAACCTCCAGGACCCCTCAAGAACCTCCAGAAGGCCAAAAGCTCCTCTAGAACCTCAAGAGCTCCTCTGGAAGCTTCTAGGAACGTGTAGGAACCTCCAGGACCTCTCAAGAACCTCCAGAAGCCCAAAAGAACCTCTGGAACCTCAAAAGTTCCTCTGGAAGCTTCTAGGAACGTGTAGGAGCCTCCAGGACCTCACAAGAACCTCCAGAAGCCCTCAAGAATCTCCAGAACCCCACGAGAACCTCCAGAACCCCTAAAGCACCTCTGGAACCTCAAAAGCTCCTCTGGAACTTTCTAGGAACCTGTAGGAACTTCTAGAACCCTGTAGGAACATCTAGAATCTTGTAGGAACCTCGAGAAACCCACAGGAACCTCCAGAACCCCTCCAGAACCCCAAAAGCTTCTCCAGAACCCCAAAAGCTCCTTCAGGAGCCCCAAAAGCTCCTCCAGAAACCTCAAAGCTCCTCCAGAACCCCAAAAGCTCCTTCAGGAGCCCCAAAAGCTCCTCCAGAACCCCAAAAGCTCCTCCAGAACCCCCAAATCTCCTCCAGGACCCCCAAATCTCCTCCAGAACCCCAAAATCTCCTCCAGAACCCCAAAAACTTCTCCAGAACCCCAAAAGCTCCTCCAGAACCCCAAAAACTTCTCCAGAATCCCAAAAGTTCCTCCAGAACCTCCAGGAGAACCTCGTGGGCTCCAGGAGAACCTCGGGGGAGCCCCCAGGAACCTCCTGGACCCTCCCGGGCTCGGGAGGTCCCGGTCCCGCCCAGGTCGGGGCCCCGGCCCGAAACCTCCGTCCCCGCTTCCCATTGGCTCAATAAAAATACGGACATTTGGGAGGATTTGGGGGATTTTGGGGGAATTTGGGGGAATTTGGGGGATTTTGGGGAATTTGGG